CATGCCTATATGGATGATGAAACACGAATAGAGTAATTGAAGAGTTAGGTTTGGAGGTAATTCCCCTTGAAAAGATCAGTCTCCTGCCTGCTCAACAATTATTCACTTTATGCAAATTAATTTAGTCTTGAAAAATTCTTTAAAATTTTTAGGATTAATTTTTTGATTATTAAATATTTTTTCATGTTTTTAGATACTTGCCCGTAATTTATATATGCTTTCAGAATTTGAATGACATTGCAAATTAGTTCGCAGTAATAGTTTATCTTTTATTTGCATACAATTGAATTTTCATAATTGAAAATTTAAATTAGCTTTATATGAATGAGAGAATATTTGTGAAATTCAAATTTATATATATATATATATATATCATTCTTCGGAAAATCACCATACACTATCGCCGATTTCTTCTCCGTTACCAGAATATTCACAAAAAACTGATAGAGATCTCACTTAAATTCTGCCTTAAAGGTTATACTCTCTTTTGGGAAGTTCTGTACTCTTAATAGAAAATGAACATGGTGCCATCTAATGGTTTTCTTAAGAACTGATTGCAGGAAAGTAACAACGGCGACCTGAGCCTATGACGAGTGATATGGTTTCAAAAAACTGCAACTGTGCAGAAATATTGATATTTTTTTAATTTATTGTAAAAAAGCACTCCTGAGTTTCTTGCTTAGCATGTATGCCTTCCATTAATAGAAGGAACGAAACAACAAAGACATGAACCAACATATGCGCAAGGTGGGCGTCGCGAGAGCATCGTTATATATATATATATATAAGCGGCTAAAGTGTGTGTCGCCGATAGTTTATTGTTCCCACTTGGAAAAATGAGCGCGCAAATGAACGTTTCCGCAGTTTTTAATTAATATCTCGGCCGATTTAGTGCCGATTAAGTCGTACGCAGATGAGAACGGTATCGATGGATTCGGAGAATTTTTTGAATCCGAGGATACATGTCTCGAATTTCAACTCGGCGTCGTTCCGTAGATACTCTAGAAAAAAGAATTTGGCACGTAGCCAAATCCCTGTAATAGGGAAAACACAAGAAAGTGGAAAATGTAGGGAAAACGTAGGGGAAAATTAGTTTTTAATTAATATCTCGGCTAATAAAAGTCCCAAGAAGACGCGAATGGTCAAAATGGCGTGACACGGACCTGCGGAATCCGACGGGGCGCATCGCTAAGCCCGGGAGCCAGCCGTTTCGGAGAAGATGATGTTACTTCATCCCATATATGCGGCTTAAGTGTCTCTTTGTCGCCGATAGTTTATTGGTTGCTTTCGTAACTGGGTGAAGCCAATGGGGTGAAGTTGCCACGGCACAGGGTTGCCGTTTCAATTGAGACGCAGACAATTTTCTGTAAAACTTGCCTTTGCTATGACCATCCATAAGTCTCAGGGCCAACGCTTAAGCGTGTTGGCATTTTTTTACCTGAGCCTACACTTGGACACGGTCAACTTTATGTTGCCTGTTCAGGAGTTCGTGAAAGAAAAGACGTAAAATTAAAAATAATGGATGGTCCTCTGCAAGGCGAGCTTAAAAATGATGGACAGATCTACACAAGAAATGTTGTGTAGAAAGAGATCTTTTGACATGTGAATTAACATTTTATTATTTAAATCACCCTTTATTTATTGAGCTAGCGGTGGCTCTTAAGAAATTTGCCGCCAGTGGTTTCCTTCATTGCACTCTACTTTAAGCAATTAAGAAAGTAGAAGGGGGGAAACTCCGTGGGGCAGTAAGCAAAGGAGCGTCTTCGCCGCCTGCCCTGGGTAATTCAGTTTAAATTAGCAGACACCTTTGCACAAATCATTTTAATTACAATTTATAATATCTAGAACAGCGGTCATTTCGTATGACGGCCGGGCTTTCTAGTTAAATATAACTGAAATAAATCTACGTTTGTAGCTTTTAAACTGCTTTTATGTTTTAATTAATATTAAAATACATTAAAAAAATAAAATACCTTACGCTTTAAGGAAAGATAACTTTAATAAAATATTTTAATTTGGGCAATGGGAGTAAATTTCTCTTAAATTCCTGAGTTCGTTTATTAAATTCAAAAGTCAAGTAAATATATTGCATTTCTCTGAATGGCACCACGCTTCTTTTATACCGATAAGTTTTCGGGTAAAATTTGAATCGTAAATATCTTACGCTTTGCAAAGTGGCAACACAAAGCTTTTAAATCGCCGAGCTTTTAATCAAAAGTTCGTGAAATTAGCATAAAATACATGTACATAAATAATGCGTACTCAGGGGGTGGTTTTTGAGAAAAAGACAATGTCTTCCCTCTTGTTTTGAAAATCAAAGTGCTAAGTTTCATCAAGATGAGAATTTAAAACTGTAGATTTGTTTGAAAGATAACGCACTGATACCTTTATTTATACGGATACTGCGAATCGAATAATAAGCCTTTTAATATTTCAGACCGAAAGCATTATTACAAAACTACCTTTGAATTAAAAATACATCTCGAATGTTTTCAAAGGCAAACAAAAGCACTACTGATTAACAATTAATATATTTTGGGGGCATTATCTTAAATATTTTAATGTAGCTACTGGATGCTGGATATAATAAAAACATTAAAAAATACTCCTTGCACAAAATTCTTAAATATACTGATTTTTCAAACAAGAAGATCTGCCATATCTGCCATCTTTCTGCGCTTCTTTATTAAAATCTTTCCCTTTTGTTACACAGATATTTATGTATATTTTAACATAAATCCGTATAAGGGCAGTAGGCTCTTCTAGCTGCGATCATCATATTATTGCTAGAAAAAAGTACACTTTCGAGCATAATTTTCTTTTAATTTTACCGGTGCAAATTATAATTACATACGCTATTTGATTCTTAAATCAAACGCAATTAACCTTGAAGCATTAAACAACAAATAATAAAAAATTACTTTGCTAAAAAAATTGCTTTATAAAAGATGCAAAATCTACAAACTTCTTAACAACAAGAATAGTAAAAAAACTGTAAAATTTCAAATACCTTTTGATCTGAGGCCTCTTTAAAAGTGTCCAGTTTCATGTAGCAATATTTAACAATACTACTGAGAATCAAGATTACGATATGTTGCAGTGGCAATTATAATGCAGACCCAATTATGCAACCTGGTGTTCATACACTTCATTTGAATGTACTGCGTATTTATGCCAAAGTAGTATTTATGTCCTTGGTGTAGGAAACAAATTCACTACTTAGGGAAAATGCATAAATCATCAGATCATGATGATTAAATGTTTCCTTTTCAAAGTAAATGGAATTATTCTTTTTGATTTTCCTTAAACAGATTTTATACGAAAGGGATTATTTCACATTCAAATTTGATTTTTCATTGGGAGGAAGAAAAGAAATAAAGAAGACACGCGAATCTTTGCCTTGACAAAAGCTTCACAATATTAAAATGTTTTATGATCTCATCAACAAAGCTGAAATCCAGTTCTGATAAGGAAATCTTCAGATTCGAAAAGGTGCCACAGAAATGTAATAAAAATTAAATTACTTAGGTCGAATTGAAAACTTTACAGACACGAGATTTGTTTTATGGCAATGAAGCGAATAGCAATAAAAATTATCATTAAAAAGACATAATTATTAATAAATTAATTTACTATGCGATAATGTGAGGCATTTCAAGGAAATGATTTTAACTACTGTCTCCATCTTTATTCAATGTCTAATCAACAGGTAGTTTCTTTACTATTATTTTTTTATGTTTTGGAAATGAAATAATTATATTTTCAGTCAAATAGTTTTCCGCCAATCTTTATTTAAATTTAATTTTTAAAGTAATTAGCACAATGTGCACCCGATACGTATAGCTTTCACATATTATTGAACAAACGAAAGAAACGTGAGGTGGCAGATTGCTATTGGTTTAATTAAAGTTTCGATTTAATTTTAATTGGATAAAATATTTGACTTTAAAATTTTGCCTTAAGTAGGTAAACACATTATTAGCCTCCCACCCATTTTCAATAGAAACATGAAGACGGAACAATACATTTTCTAGGTAAGACAATCTTGCACAATGTATAAAACAACACTCGCTGCAGTTCCTTTCATATGGTTCCAATGTAAAACTAATTGAAGTTTAATAGTTTTATGTATTCATGCAAATTTAGCAAACTCACACTTTAAGACTTTTTGAGACCACAACAGTACTGAATTTCTATTCACTTACAACTTAAGATGAAAACAAAGTATAAAAATTTCCGAAATCCATTTTAGGTTGGCATAGGTTTTTAAGAAAACGTCCATAGTATTCGGAGGAATTAAGCAAACGGTACCTTTTATTCGTAGACATATGTTTACTGCATTGAGGAAGGGGTGGGGGCGCGAAGTGAGGAAAAAAGCTAAAGAAACAGATGAAATGACTTAAACGAATGCAGTACCATCTATTTGGAAACACAGAAATCAAAGAAAAATTACAAACTAAAAGATAAACTTTAAAAAGCTCTGGGAAAACTGAACTGGAATCAATATTATTAATTAAAGTGAGTAGATTTTCATAACTGTGGGTGACTTTAAGGAAGTCTAATAACCCTGTAGAGACATTAGGATTATTTCGAGCCGGAGAGATGAAAAATGAGCAACGCCTTCGGCGAGAATCGAACCACGGACCTCTGGAATACGCGCCCAGCGTGCAGACCATCACACCACGAAGGCATGCTGAGAAGGCTGGAAAAATACCTTATACCCCTAACGAAGAAATTTTCAGTTAATTTTAACGGAAATAAAATCAAAAGCCTCATAACTTGAAATCAATAGTTTGTTTTTTATAAAACCATTGTCATTCTAATAGTAGTTTTTATCTAATCTTATGCCTGACGTCGTTGGCATGTGTGTCTTATAATGGATTAAACGTTTTAGAAAGATCACAAATGTAGTTGAAAGGAATGAAAACACGCACGCATATACCTGTCTCATAAGAAAATTTAAAAAAAAAAAATACTTTAAAGCAAAAAAGTACACTCACATCAGATAACCGTATCTCGTGTTCTGAGCGAACATTTGCTTCAGAATCACCAAAGAAATCGGATCGCTGAGAGAAGTGTCGTCTTCTGCTTCCACAAAGACTGACAATCGTTGTTGTTCCTCCTGTCAGTGTTCTGGACCGATGACGAACGCTGTCTCCACTGTGCAGAACACTCCTGGATGACCTGCAAATGGAGTTGTCTGTTGATTATTGAATGTAATAAACTAATCCCTTGAACAAGCAAATACATAGGCAAAGAAAAAGAAACTCTCTCTTGTTTAGAATGTAGGCCACCTGCAAGAGTGAAAGAATGGCACGAGTGTTTCGCTCATTTTATCTGTCAAACAGGTATTCCGTACTAAAAACAATGAGTTTTTGTTTTAAATTCCGAGCTGTTTTCTGTTTCATTCTACTTGCATATATTTAACGCATATACGCTCTTAATTTAACGTATAACAGTTAAAACAAAACATCATAACACAGCATTGCCCATTTCTTAATATTTAGCAATTTCAAAGAAATACATCGTTAAATTGTGCACACATTTCTGTTGTTTTGCTCTCTGATATGGACACTGCATGACTTCCTCGTACGTCAAAATTAAATTACAAAAATTTTTTCATGCACTTCATTTAAACTTATTTCCTCGAATTATTCTAACTTATTAACGGTTTAATCCCTCAAGGCAAGTTGAAAATGACATCAAAAATTGAAAATTTTGAAATTAAATATCCCGGTCAACTTTTGTCGTGCGGGATCAAACTTCTCGTATTTTTATTTTTTCATAGCGAATATAAAACGTTCCCGAATATAAGTATAGGATCCGGGAGACCGCATTAAAAGTCAGATTTCGTTATTTGTCCCTTTGCGACCAAAATATGAATATTTTCGTCATTTAAATCATTTCTGCAATTGGAAATATAGACTACGACCACGGATTACAAAAATAAAGGCAGGGTCAAAGACTTTGAAGCCAGGTTTTGACTTACGCGAGATACATATGTATGTGCGTACAGACGTCAAAGTCCTTTATTCTGTCCGCACGTACAGACACGAGGCAAACAAATAGTCAAAATGAATATTTCCGAAAAACTGATAACTGAAATCTTTCGCGTTTGCAATACTTTCTTTACTTCAGATAAGGAAGTAAAAAGCGTTGCTTCAGAAAATTTCCCGAAAACATTTGTTTTTCCATCCAATTTGGGTATTATTAGCTGCAACAAACAATGAACGCAAATGAAACTGGAGCATTCTATTAAAAGTTGACAACGAGAACGTACATCTCTAAAGATGAAAATAAGTAAGCTGGTTAGCATATTATGAAAACAGGCAAGAATACACTCGTGAGAAATAAAGCACCTGACGATTAGACATGAAAATCTACTACATCTACCATAATGAAAACACGTGGGAATGATAAACGCTGGCAATCTTATAAACTACTTATAACTACTTAAATATGGCTGGCAATCTTATAAACTACTATAAACTACTTATACTACTTATAGACTTACCCAATCAGCTATTATTCCTATAACTTGTAAGGATTATGTTAATTTTATTAACAGTTAAACTTTAAGTTCCTTTCCTGTCAAATTCTTAACTTCAACTTACTACTTCCGGCCAGAACGTAGTTTTGGAATCTTGCTGACTATTTAATGAGGGGGAGCGGTATTTAGACCACGAAGTTACTGAGTTAGAGAGAATCAGAGTTTCTGATTTACGCGCGTCTCCCTTTTTGGCCACTCTCTCTATCAAAGCTGTTATTACGCTCGGCCGTACTCAAGCCCTTGCTAAGCTTCGTAGTCAAATAAGTTAAGGGGCCAACTCGATTTGAACCTTGATAGCTTCGGCTATACTTCTTTTAGTTAATCTTAGTTTTAGTTTAATTCTTAGTCTTTTAAGTTCAAGTCCAAGTGCGGGCTTTGCTTGTACACTTCCAGGCGGAGTTTTGTTAAATCTTATTGGAATAATAAAGCGTTAGTTACCCTTCTATCTTGTTGTTTCTTGTCACCGAACTCAAGCGATTATTCGCTTATCAGTTTTTAGATTCTTCACTTCCTAATTCTTCTATTCTTCACTAACTTAGAATTCCGAAGTGAGGAACTCTACAAACTGCAAATAAATTTTAAGGGGCGAGAGAACTTATTAGTCCAAAGGGGCTTTGTCCCTGAAGGACTATTGTTTTCGTTCTGCGATTTTGCGTTGAATCACTATAAATGTCCGTTTCACTTTTCAAACTGTTGCCACCAAATGCTAGAGTCTTGCATTATATTTGAAGAAATTAAATAATAAAAAATCCGCATAAATGTATGTATATTTCTTGCATTATCATAAAACAATGGTGCATAAAGCCATCGAATTTTGAATGACGTAATTTTTCCCTCCTGACTGTACGGCAGGAGGGCAAAAAAAAAAAAAAAAAAAAAAAAAAAAACTTTCTATCTCCAGCGGACGCGGAACGGTATACAGGAAATTCTAAAGATATGCTCATTTTAAAATTATTTTGCGACTTTGCTACTGAACTGAATTTTATGGTTTAAATGGACAGAACATGATATTTAATAAATAACGGTAACACACAAAACGTTAAAAAAACGCCCGGACGTAATTTAAAATCTGAAACATTTCAGATATTTACTTCCTTGTACGAAGTAAAACGGAAGTATTGTTATCGCGAAAAGTTTCAGGCAGCATTTTTCAACGAAAATATCCATTTTGACCGCTTTCGAACGCAATTTAACGATGTTTTTGCGTGATATCTGTACGTAAGGACAGAATAAAAGACTCGTTTCCTCCAAAAAAAAAAAAAAAAAAAAAAAAAACTATAAACTGCTTTAAAATGAATTCTGAAGAGAATATTTCATGGCGTCTGTACGAACGTATGTACGTACGAACGTATCTCGCATAACTCAAAAACGAGTAGTCTCAGAACGTTGAAAGTTTGTATATAGGACTAGAATAACATGTAGATGTGCACCTCGTATTTTGGTTGCAATCGGCCGCGTCAAACGTATATAAATATATTTATATATATATCCACTCTGTTACCCAACTCAGTGATCTCAGTTTCTTTACTCTTATATGTTTCTAAATTGTACATTTTTTACTTTAAAAATGATTGAATTATGTTGTTTTTATCTTCCGGTTAACGTTTTTATACTTTAGTAAATCTGTATGCAATATTTTTAGAATTTTCAACAATTTCAAAGTTGTTTAAGTGCCGCTAAGCCTTTTTTTTATGGCGGCCATTGATTGTTTACGTTTGAAACAGCAGACTAGTGGATTTGTTGCCAATCTAGAGAAACTTAGCTTTGCAACAACAAAGATAACGCCTTCATTTATTATTGCCAATTAAATCATGCTTAATCGTTTCTGGAATTTTTTGGAGGAAATAAGTGTTTAAGATTTACTTCGTAATGTTTAATATAGATAGTGAGTTTTTATGTATTTTTGCCTTCTCGCGAAATGAGAACTGAATTAATTGAATGAGAAATACTCAATCGTCTGTGAAAAACTGTTTCTTTTTTTGTTTCGTTTGCTTAATTTCTTTTATACATCATTCTTGTTTATTATAGTATTTGAATAGAACATGTGACAACGATTAGATAATTCTATTCCTTAAATGATATAAATTTTGTGCATTATGAGTTATAATATGAACGAAATATAATATTGTTAAGTGAATCTAGCGCCAGATCGTCGCTATTGTAAACAAATACTGGAGTGAATTTTAAAGAATGCATTTAATCTGTTGTGGTTTATGCGCTGTCGGCGAAGTAGATTTGATTCAATTTAATATGTTTAAATGAAATGCAAGAAAAAATGCGTATAATTTAATACTCCGTACAAGGAAGTCATGTGATGTACACATCAGATTTTTATTATTATTATTTTATATAATTTCTTTAAACGTGATAAAAATTATGTAGAGTGCATTTAAGAGAATCGGCATTCACCATTGTACGGAATATTAAATTATACGCATTTTTTCTTGCATTTCATTTAAACTTATTGGATTGAATTAAATCTACTTCGCCGACAGCGCATAAACCACAATAGAATAAATGCATTCTTTAAAATTCTCTCTGGTATTTGTTTATCATAGCGACACTCTGGCGCTAGATTCACTTAACAGTATTATATTTTGTTCATATTATAACTCATATAATGCACAAAATTTATATCATTTAAAGAATAGAATTATCTAATCGTTGTCACTTGTTCTATTCAAATACTATAATAACGCTAGAATGATGTATAAAAGAAATGAAGCAAACGAAACAAAAAAAAAAAAAAAAAAGTTTTTCACAGACGATTGAGTATTTCTCATTCAATAAATTCAGTTCTCACTTCGCGAGAAGGCAAAAATACATAAAAACTCAAAATATCTATATTAAACATTACGAAGTAAATCTTAAACACTTATTTCCTCGAAAAAATTCCAGAAAGGATTAAGCATGATTTAATTGGCAATAATAAATGAAGGCGTTATCTTTGTTGTTGCGAAGCTAAGTTTCTCTAGATTGGCAACAAATCCACTAGTCTGCTGTTTCAAATGTAAACAATTATTGGCTGCCATCAAAAAAAATCTTAGCAGCACTTAAACAACTTTAAAATTGTTGATAATTCTAAAAATATTGCATACAGATTTATTAAATGCATAAAAACCTTAACCGGAAGATAAAAACAACATAATTTAATCATTTTTAAAGCAAAAAAATGTACAATTTACAAACATATAAGAGTAAAGAAACTGAGATCACTGAGCCGGGTAACAGAGTGGATATATATATAAATATATTTATATACGTTTGGTGCGCCGATTGCAACCAAAATACGAGGTGCACATCTACAAGTTATAGCAGTCCTATATACAAAATTTCAACGTTCTGAGGATACTAGTTTTTGAGTTATGCGAGATACGTACGTATGCACGTACGTACATACGTTCGTACACACGCCACGAAAAATTCTCTTCAGAATTAATTTTAAAGCAGTTTTATAATTTTTTTGGAGGAAAGGAGTCTTTTATTCTGTCTTTACGTACAGATACTACGCAAAAGCATCGTTAAATTACATTCGATAGTGGTCAAAATGGATATTTTCGTTTAAATATGCTGCCTGAAACTTTTTCCGATTACAATACTTCCTTCTTACTTCGTACAAGTAAGTAAAAATTAAAAAAAAGAGTCCTATTTAAAGTGTAATTTTAAGTAGATAGAATAACAAGAGAAAAAGCGTTTGGGGAAAAACTCAATTTTACGAGTCAGCTTATTTTTAATAGCAAAATAATTATTAATAAGTGACTAGCTAAATAAAAAAATATTATTCCACTCGCTGCCCGAAATTCAAAAGCTATAGAAAAGCATAAAATGTTTTCCCGAGCATTAATGTTAGGGAAAATAATTGCAGTTTAAATTGCATAATAAGAAATCTGCCTAGAAGTAAATACCGAAACAACTGAAAAGTAATAAAAATTGCCTATTTTAAGTCTGTTTATATAAAGAAGCATTAAAGTCTGTTTGATATAAAGAAGTTTGGAAGATTATAAGTAAACTTAAGAAGTTACCTGTTACATCGTATCTGTTTAAATACATATTTTCATGAAAAGACTGAAGCGACTCTAATACTTTTGCAATTATTTAGTGCATAAAAGTTAAAATAAAGAATGTTTTCATTTAATTTAAAATATTGTGTTTCGCAGATGTAATGTGAAATTCCTTAACTATGATAATCCATTGCAATACATTCTGCCAAGACATACATTACCTATTGGAACTGGAAGATTTCTTTCGACTACGTCTTCGTCTACGCTTTCCAACGTCAGATGAACTAGACTGGTTACGTGATCCTGGAATACCATGATGGCAATAAGGATCGCAGCATTTAGTCTTCATTTCGTTTCGATAGTCTGAAGATACTTTGAAATCATCATCCGAACTGTGAGAATGACGTCGTAACACATCAGGTAGACTGGATGATAAGTGGGATTTCATATCTGGTAGAGGATTATATCTCTTATCCTTTTTCTTCGAATCTCTAAATAACATAAACAACATAAAATGTTACTGAAAAACAGAAGAATAAAATATTTTAATGTAAGAGATATCTATCAAAAATATTTTGAAGACTGAGGACATTCTAAAGTTTAGTCAGTTCCATACTTATTTTGACTCATATCAAGACACAACTATAACTATGCGTTTCACAGCTATTCATTTACATCTGTTAATCTCAGTTGCCTTAATTATGATTACTTCTATAGCTTGCCAGTTTCCAAAGCGTTCCGAAAATGCAAAAATAATTTTAAATTTAAATACGATATTAAACTTTTAACTAAGAAGCTGTGAACAGTTAAACAATGAAAACTCAATAAAAACAGTGAAATGTCATTTGTTAAAGAAAACAATTTGTTCCTGCTAGCGTTCATATATTTATGTGCATTGTTCTTAACCTTACAATTAGGAGTTTTCTGTTCAGCTTTAAACATAGTATAAATAACAGTTACTCATTTTACTTCAGCTTTAAGCTATTCAGCTTTAAACACAGTATAAATAACAGTAATTCATTTTAAAACAACTAATTATAATACATTTATATACTACGAGCAAAAATAATACACGGAATAATCATACTTGTGTAATTAAGGTACAGTATGAACATTTCTCAATAAATACACGAACATATTGTCGAATGTATTAAAAAGACTGCTAATAATAGACTATAGTGAAATCAAGATAATTTGCAAGAATGATATTATTTTCAATCTGATCTGTTAAGCCTTCTTATAGTTTTTATAAACAAAAATTCTGTACGATTTAGTGTATGATACATTAAAACATTGTAAAATGATGAAATTTCTATTTTTAAAACGACATTAAAGGATAATAAGAAATAATGTTTACTTCAGTTTATTTAATTTAGAATTCAAACAGAAAAAATCAACGTTATATTTACAAATTTTGGCAGGACTAGTTTCGATAGTTTTACCGAACCATCATCCTCATCTGCCAAAGCGCAAATGAACGAGATCAGATATAGTGATAAACTAAGGTAGGATAAGAAAGGCTGGACAAGAGTTGAGCTACTGACGCCATCTATTGATGAAACGAGAATTAAAGCATAATTTCCTCAAAGGCTAAAGGCAAAGAGTGGAATTAGGGTCGTTAACCAGAACAGAAAAATTTTTTTGAATGTGAAACGCGTCTAGAAAATCTAATTCACCAATGGAAGATGTTTTTTGAATAATTTTGGCTGCAGAAAAATTGAAAGTGTGATTTTCGGACCAACTATGCTGGGCAACAGTGCTTCTGTGTTTCCTTTTTTCTAACATATGCCTCATGTTCCTTAACGCGAAATTGTAAGGCTCTCTTAGTTTGGCCAATGTAAATTAAACCACTTTGACAAGGAATCCTGTAAATACCCCCAGGAATTCATATCAGGATTCATATCAGGAGAATAAACGACCCGAGAGTTAAATCTCTGCAAAATATGTGCAATTTTATAGCAAGAAAGGAATGACAACAGAATTCTTATAATCTCCTGAAACAAAAGTGTGCCTTTTGTATGTTGAGATGAGAATTTTTTAACTGCTTGATTAATAATTTTGCTTGAAAACCCCCTGTCAATAGATGCTGCTTTTAAATAATTTAGTTTAGTGAGTTTCTACAGTTTCTTAAGAAACCGAATGAAATAATAAGAAGTGTTCAAAATTATTTCCATTTTACTAATTGCTTTTATATTTTTTATTAAATGTTTTCTTGAATGTTTAAATAAATACATTTTTTTCTAAAACTGCATACTGTAACTGCGGGTGGAATTCCTGTCTTTCAAAATAAAGGCATGCATCGTGTTGGATGGGGGGTCATAAAAGAGTTTGCACTGTAACAATAATTTATTACAATAGTTAAGTTACACACGGACATAACATATAATTTTGAGAAATATGCAGAGCAGAGGTCTCATACAACCTAACAGGTTCATCACCTGGCCTTTACTGAAGTCTTTCTCTGGCTATACACCAGAGGACACCCTCGTTGCTAGAGTGAGTCTACCATAGTTCATATTAACATCAGAGTTTGTATGAAAGGATTGGTTACACATGGATTTTATTTTTTAACTTTTAAGAATGTAATTCTCATCAGACTGGAAGAAATTTTAAATAATCGCATAAACTGTTAAAATGTTAAACAAAGTAAGAGTAAATTCTTTGCTTTTTGCATAAAGAACTCGGTTAGTTAAAATGCAATGTGTGCAATAAAATTAAATAAGTTCCATAAAAAAATAATAAACAGTAATTATGTGCTTTTCGAAACTAACGTCATCTGATTAAGAGCAACATTAAGAGGATTTGAAAAGACAGAACTGGCTAAAGAAATCAATTTTTATTTTATTTTTGCGTCCGATAAAGAAAAATGCTTTCTTTCTCACCTGCATTACAGCAGCTAATTGACGAAATGGAAGTTCAAAGAAACTGAGTTTTTCCTCGCAGCATTTTGCAATTGGCAGATATTAATTAAAAATATTTCCACTGTAAACCTCTTCATCATATTTTTTTTACTTTGATGCTTTACTGTCCACGGTATTATAATTAATACTGATTTTTCATATATAACTCAAATTTTACACATTAACATATTTTTAAACCAAGCAGTAAGATTTAAAACAAAATTTTTTAATTTTATTTTCTACTTTTTCGAATGTCAGCAATGGAATAAGAACATGTGTATAGTAGCTCTTTATATTTTACGATTAAAATATGTAAACAGTTGATAACTGCACATCATTAAAATTTGTAGGTACTTTGTTTATAATAAAAAAGTAATGGGATTCTTAATAGGTGTTAATATATATGTGACACACTCAAAAACAAATTCCAAAATAGGGAATTGATAAGACGCCAATTGATGAGAAATTTAATCAACTATTCTAAGTAATTCACAGACTTCATTCAAGCAGTATGATGAACTTGATTAGAAAAACTGTCTGGATATAATAAACTGAATTTAAAATCAAAATAAAATGGCGAATAACGTAATCTGAACTTGTGTACTGATTGTTTTATATCACTTTTATGTCACAATTTTGACTAAAAAATAATAAGCATAATGCATAAAACTATCACCGTTATATACTTAAATAGTATAAAAATTCCGATTTCTAAACATTTTCTGAGAAAATATGCATTAAAACTGATAAAGTTAGCGTGAAAATTACTTTACTAACGGTACACATTCTTTGCCTAAAATGTAATAAGAACAGCATGATGTTAAATGAATTTTAATCTAATAAAAAACAGATTGTACGTTTTTTTACAGACACACCGTGATCTAAGTGAAAGAAACCCTAAAGTATTCAAATAGCCCAACAAAGTCAACTTAATGTACACAGTAGTTGAAAGAAAAAAGGAACACTTGCAGGTCAACAACCTTTTAACAAACACGACAATATCGATCCCTTATAAGTGCGTATAGTACAAATAAAAACAATTCACGTTTTCTTTTTTCTTTTTTTTTTTTTTTTTTTTTTTTTTTAGCTGAAAACAGCAAACCAGCTTTTTTTTTTTTTTTTTTTTTTTGAGAAACAGAAATTATGGAAGGATATGCAACAGCGACTGCAGGTTGACTAGCTTCTGTCTATTACAATATGCGTCATTCAAAGCAAAGAGGTAAAATTAAATACTCTTTACTGGGCAAAGTACGGTTTTTCCAACAATTTCGTCGCTGAAGCAGAAAATTTAACACTACTTACAAAAGTTTATTTTGGAAAGCTTCAAGATCATGACGGATGTATCTAATAATGATAGCTTAAAAAAAAAGAGGCATTCCAATGAACGAGAACTTCTTGGCAAGAAATAAATAATTTGTACGTTATACCTTGACGTGCTGGATTGCACGCTGAGTAGCAAGTTTTTTTTTTTTATATTATAGACGACAATTTATAGACGGGAATGAAACTGAAACTAATTCTTAGACGGAGGTATAAGAAAAGAAGGTAAAAAAAGTACTTGATAGTGATTAGGCGAATAACTTCCGGTTCCGCAATACTAAAAGTTTTACATTTGAATGGTTAAAAATGACTTATGTATAATATACAGACTACAAAAGAGCATTACGATGTGTAATTTATAGATTTGTGAGCAATTTTGCGCAGGTTCAGACAGCAAAGTTCGTTCACCTAAAATAATAAGACACAAGCAAGTAGATTTTTAGTGCAGTACGTGATATACTGCATTAAAAATATCTTTAATTTCAGTAATAGTATAAATGTTCATAAGAAGCATCAGCCGAATGTATCTATAAATTATATCAATTAAATGCACTATAAATTACGACAATAAATTATATTATTTGAAACTGAAAAATATGAATTTGTAAGAAAGCTCGGTTGTTAAATAACTTCAGAATCTAAAAGATAAATATCTCCTGCAATGACAAAACTTGTCATTTCGCGTGGATGATAACTATCGTGGTACCATAACATAAACATAATGTATCGCTTTCCACCAAATTAAAAAGACTTCGCAAGAGTTTCCGGCACTAAAACTTCAAAGGAACTGTTTCAGAACTGAAGTACTGGGGTGAAATTTCTGATTATTTGCATGACTTAAAATAATTGGCTGAATTACTCTCATAAAGGAATAGTCTGGTTTATGTGATTATGGCAAAGCCTCGAGGCTGTTTGCCTAAGAGAAAGGATGGATGTCTTTGTGGAGAGTTTTCTAAGGGATACTGGCTCGTATACACGTTGCATATGAAGAAAACCACATAAACGTCCATGCAGCCAGCCCGTTCGCGGTAAATACCGCTTCACAAGTTCGCGGGATTCGAACCTAGGACAAAACTACCAGTGTTCAACGACTTTACTACTGGTGGATCCTCATAAAGCGGGAATTCTCTTTTTATGAGGTGCGTTAATAGGTTCAGAAGCCGGATGTGATGTACAAAAGTTTAAGTTTAAAATATTTTTGCATTTACTTCACTCTACGTCGTTTGGAGGTCTCTTACCTTTACATTGTACACTCATAAGGTTTTTTGATTTCCTCTTTGAAGCAGGAGACGTGAAAAATGAGCAGTTCCCTCTCTGGGACTCGAACCCTGGACCTCTCGAATACGCGTGAAGTATGCTTCCAATTACACCACGAAGGCATGCGGAAAGTTGTAGAAAATACCTTATAACCTTAACTATGAAATAATTTCACAAATGTAAAATCAGCGTGAAATAATTATCGAAAAAAAAAACTGCTTCGCAAGTAAATTAATAAAAACAAGCTTCTATGTGTTAACTAAATTAATAACAGTTCAGCAACTGCAACTTCAAGACATGGTCGATATACAGTTAGGAATTACTATTTATAAAAAGACATAAGAGGAAGATTAATGTGTTTAGAGTTATGTAATAAATACATTATATTACGTAATCTAGATTCTGTAATGTTAAAAGAAAGCAGAGCTATATATTCTACAACACAAGATCGTGATATCTCTATATCACGATGTGATTCACAATGAGATCGCGATACCTGAAGTGAAAAGGGACTAAAAACAGAAGGGGCTAGCAGAAAAACGTTGATTAATACTAGCTATAGTGCTTTTTTATAAAAAAGAATAATGAAAACTCTATGCAAAAATGCCTACAGAAACTGCAGAATACATTCAGACAACTGCTACAAGCTAAACTCAACTTCAAGAATACAGATTCGACTACAATTCTAATTCCAAATCGTGTAATATAACAGTGTCGAAGCAATGAAGGTAACAAGCTATCCCAAGATGCATTACAGTAAAAATGGAAGACAACGATCTCAAAGGAAACCACTGCTAGACACCAATTAATACAGAAACCGAAAATATGTTCGCTTAGAAATCGCTTCTGTTCTAATAAGACCATATATGAGGACGCTGAAAATTTTCATGTAACAAAATAAAAACGCCTGTCACATTTTGAGAAATGTAACTAGGGAATAAATTGAAAATGTCATTAAATCTTATTTCGTTGTATTAATCTGTTCCTTAAAAAAAAGCAGAAATGCCTCGCACTTTTACTTATTTTGTTAATAATTACCAGGATGTCTTTGCAAATGACAACTGCTTTGAATGTCGTTTACCAAATTGTAGGATAAACAGTGTTTTCCTTATCAAAGTGAGAGGGAAATATTCTTCTCCTTGTAACTACTGTCAAACCATTGAACCAATATAAAATTTTTTAATTCCTCTTCACCCGATTGAATTCTTTGACAAATATATTGCTTTTTGTATAATATTAATGGAAACCTTCGCAATTCTTAAGTCTATCAGTATCTCATTTATATGACATATTTTCAATCCTATTTCACTAAACACAGCATCAAAGCTACTTAGAGTCTCACTATTTTTGGAAGCATACAACGTGGATTCTACGTAGAAGATGAAGTAGCGAATACTCTTTGTGTCTTTGAAAAATAGATACAGCAGAAGAAGGTTTTAAATAATCTTTTTATTTGCGTTAAAATAAACAGCTGCACTCACTTGGTGCTCACAATTCAACACCACTTGCTGCTAAAACGTAACGAATCACAATAAATTTAAATGGCTAATGACTGGCTCCTTAGCTTATCTAAACCGCTAAATCGGCTGCACACAGCAAAGCTAATCCTGGATATCAGTATTAACTAATGGGTGCTCAACACCGACGAGACAGTTTCAAACAACATAAACTCGGATTAACTCCGCTACTTCCTTACGAACTCTTGAAACGCAGCTTAAATACTGCTTCTGAAACATGCTTAGATTTTATGCTACGTCATTTAAAATTTACATTCCGGCAGGAAACTGAAATTAGGAAGGAAAGGAAAGTAAGACTAAAAATAATTGATTAGAATAAAATAAGACTTTACACTACGAGTGCGTTTTTAGGCTGATTTAAGAAACAAAATTAGTTAGAGAGATTTAAAATTGCTTCTTTTCACTGTAAAAAAAGGAATGTTCGCAGGGTTATCGAAAATGGAAAACCATTTCAAAGAATCATAACGGTTCAAGTATCGTTAATTTCATACCCTATTTACTTAGTTTGGAAAATAATGATTCATTTCCAACTGAAAATGAAAGAATATTTAACGTAAAACTCACTTGAACTTCAACTTTCGCAATTTCAATTCTTCGGCAATAAGAGAGAGAGAAAAAAATCTGATGTGTACACTACATGACTTCCTTGTACGGAATATTAAATTATACGCATTTTTTTTTTTTTTTGCATTTTATTTAAACTTATTGAATTGAATCAAATCTACTCGCCGACAGCGCTAAACCACAATAGAATAATGCATTTTAAATTCATCTAGTATTTGTTTACCATAGCGACACTCTCACGTAGATACTTAACGGTATTATATTTCGTTCATATTATAACTCATAATGCACAAAATTTATCATTTAAAGAATAGAATTATCTAATCGTTGCCAAAGTTTATTCAAATACTATATAAAGCTAGAAAATGTATAAAGGAAATTAAGCAAACAAAGCAAAAAAGAAACAGTTTTCCACAGACGATTGAGTATTTCTATTCAATTAATTCAGTTCTCACTTCGCGAGAAGGCAAAAATACATAAAAACTCAAAATATCTATATTAAACATTACGAAGTAAATCTTAAACACTTACTTCCTCCAAAAAATTCCAGAAAGGATTAAGCATGATTTAATGAGCAATAATAAATGAAGGCGTTATCTTTGTTGTTGCGAAGTTAAGTTTCTCTAGATTGGCAACAATCCACTAGTTGTGTTTCAAATGTAAACAATCAATGGCTGCCATAAAAGAAAAGGCTTAGCGGCATTTAAACAACTTTAAATTGTTGATAATTCTAACAATATTGCATACAGATTTACTAAAGGAAAATCGTTCACCCGGAAGATAAAAACAAAATAATTCAATCATTTAAAGCAAAAAAGTACAATTTAGAAACATATAAGAGTAAAGAAACTGAGATCACTGAGGGTTGACAGAGTGGATATATATATATATATAAAATATTTATATACGTTTGGGCGGCCGATTGAACAAAACAAATGCACAACATGTTTATAGCAGTCCTATATGCAAATTAACGTTCTGGGCTACTCGTTTTTGCGTTATGCGAGATACGTACGTACGTACGCACGTACATACGTTCGTACAGACGCCACGAAATGTTCTCTTCAGAATTCATTAAAGCACTTTCAATTTTTTTGGGAAACGAGTCTTTTTATTCTGTTCTTACGTACAGATATCACGCAAAAAAAAAATCGTTAAATTGTTTTCGAAGCGTCAAAATGGATATTTTCGTTGAAATATGCTGCCTGAAACTTTTCGCGATACATAATTCCTTTTTACTCGTACAAAAGTAAAAGGTATTTTCAAAAATTCAAATTCAAAAATTCAAAATTTTTTAAGTCAAAAAAATCTTAACCAGGTTTCTGGAGAATCCTGTTTAAGTTCCGTAAGCATGAAAATGCTTATCATAATATCTACATACTAATCAGATGTAGTGTTTTATGCACTACGTTCACATATAACGTTTAATGTGTTAAACGCAGATTTATTCATAAGCCCCTAAAACGTTTTAAAAATTCATAAAAAGTCATCTACGCGATATATTTCGAATTTCGGTATACTAAAACAGAAGAAATTTTATTAATATTATTACTATTTTTTTACATATTTCACAAATGTTTGTATCCACCTTTGCTAGTATGGCGGACGGCAGATATCTATGCGAAATTAGCTGGACTTAGCGAACATACTAGAAAGCTGGCTGATGCCAACATTTGAAAGAAAACTGCGATGATTATACCTTTTAATCTCTTTCAACAAAACAATGGTCAAATGACTAAGACCATTATCAGATAATCTTAAGTATTTCAATCAAACTTTTGCTCAAAAACAGAGACTATTTAGGAGAACATTAAAATTAGCCTAGTAAGACACACAGAACAAGGAACTGACGGGTTAATGCGGTGGCCATCCCAATCTTCGGATTTAATACCTTGTGTTTTATCAAGGATAGACCAAGACCAACCTTGTGTTTTATCAAGGGTTTATCAAGGATAGACCTCCAGTTCATGTTAATACACAGAAGCTTTGCAACAGTATCACCGGTACTATAACTGCCGTTAATCGTAATATATTTAGGAACGAAACGGTTTACCTCACTGACGACCACTGTATTAGTAAGGGTGGATACATTGAACATTTGTTAAGTGTGTAGAAAGTTTACTATATTCACATTTATTTCAGCATAATAAATTTGCTACCTTTTCGAAGTTTATTTGTTATGTATTTTAAAAATATTTCATGGCATTATAAATAACAATGAATATTTTAATTATAATTATTGCTATATGGGAAACGTATAAAAAGTTAGAATTTATGATTCCACATACAACGTTGAAATTGTTTCCACACAATTTTCTTTCCTCATTTTGAGACATTTTGCGACTGGAAGCACATATTTGGGACCAATATTTAAGGAAATAGAACCTGTATCACATTTTTCTAATACTCTGCACACAATTTGCAAAGTTGCTGAAACAAATTATATTATAATGATAAATATTCTTGCAGTCGTTAGGAACTGCTATATAAATATATAACTATTTTGTATTCTTATTTGTTGCTAAAGCTGCCAATAAAAAAGAAAATCAATTTTTAACATAAATGTAAGAAAAATCCGCCGTACAAACCCTAATTAGTGTTTATAAGCCTTCGCCACTGTAATTATTCTACAGATATTTTTTAATGCTTAATATTATTAATTTCCTATTATTTTATTTACCTATATTTAAGAATTTTTGCAACATGTATATGTAAGATTTGACGGTTAATTAAAATCCTATTATTTATATATTAATCAAATTTGTTTTGATTCCTGGGTAAAATATTTCGCTCAGTTATGAAATTGTAAACATTTTTCATTACTAATTTTCAAATAATAGGCAACTTACACAGATAATATATTACGAGGTCCACTGTTGAATCTATGGAATGATCCAGTCTTGCATGTGGCGTGGGTTCTAAGGTCCCCTTCTGATGACGTTTTCAAATGAAACTTTCTTTTTGCATGATACTTTCTAAAGCTCCTTTTACAACACCCACAACTAGTGGAGCAAGTAGTTGTTGCTGGAGGCGATGGCGGCAGCTGAGAAGTTTGTGCAGTTTCGGAATCAGTCATCAAATGTGCGCATTGTTCACGTATCACAGTTTCGAAAGAACCTTCCATGCTATAAGAGTCAAGGCGTCCTTTCTGTTGAAAAGAGTCTTCTTCGAAAAAATAAGATGATGATGAGAAAGAAGTAGCTTCATCGGCACTGGAAGACGTATATTCACAACTGGCATCACATGAAGATAGATCCTCTCCAACGTGAACCTGCCTTGGACCTTGATTACAATCGTCACCTGAAGAGTGCCCATCACGGAATAAAGATTTCCTTTGGAATGTTGAATCTGAAGGAATAGAATTCGAGCACCGATTTAACCAAGAACGGACGCGGTTCGTCATTCGTCCACTGCTTTTCCAAGAAGAGGCAATGACTGTGGTGTCTCTATCCCGCTTTCTCTTCAGACCTTGCTTATAGCTTGTATTTGGTTCCAGAATGTCTGGTAAATGTCTTATTGGGGTAGAGCTAAGGATTTTCTTGGGCCGTGATGATATCTTCCACCATTCCCCAGGGGAATTCGTATACAGAGGTAACTTGTAAGTTTCTTGCTCCGAATCAGAACTCGAAAACTTCCTTTCCTTCCGAGACACTGAAAACCCTTCTGCTGAAGAGGATGCATTAGTTGTGGTTTTCTGTAAGCATGGCAGTTCAGTTTGGCACTCCAGTTCGGTAGATGAATCAAATTTTTGAACATTTTTATCATCGATGTTGCCAGTATCCCCTGTGTGTAAACATAGTTCACCATTATCACTGTCGACAGATATCATTTTGTAGAAAACTTGAGCAGATGTTGTAAAAGAACTCCTGAAAAACATTAAGTTCAAGGCAATTTTTATTTAGTATAAGAAGCAATTTGAATAAAAAAACTATTTTATCTCTTCTTACCATACATTGCACAAAGACATCTAAAGCAGCGTTGTTAAACATTGAAAATTAACACGGATGAATTACATTGCAAATGTTACTTAAGAAAACACATACACATTATAAATTAAACTTCACAAGAACTAATAGCAATTTTGACACAAGGGAAAGCAAGCACTGAATTATATATGTAACAAAAAAAAAAAAAAAAAAAAAAAAAAAAAAACAAAAAAAAAAAAAAAATTCATTACTTAAAAATCAGTTATAGTTCTATAGGTTATAAGGTATTTCTCCCACCTTCTTGGCATGCCTTCATGCCTTCGTGGTGTAGTGGTTCTGCACGCTGGACCGGTATTCCTGAGGTCCATGGTTCGATTCCCGGAGAAGGTGGTTGCTCATTTTTCATTTCTCCGGCTTTTCCAAATTACCTAATGTCTCTACAGAGGCGCCCGAACTAAAAGGGTGGTGGATGATGATTTTTCCCCACCCAGGATTTGGCGATTGGGTCCCCTAAAAACCCCAGTGGCCTTTTAAAAAGGGGAGTGTAGTATATAAGGTATTTCTCCCACCTTCTTTGCATGCCTTCGGGGTATAGTGGTTCTGCGCGCTAAGCCGGTATTCCAGTGGTCCGTGGTTCGATTCCCGGCGAAGGCGGCTGCTAATTTGTCATCTTGCCTGCTTCCAAGAATATACCTAATGTCTCTACAAGGTATTAAAACTGTCCTTTATGTTATACAAATGGGCAAAATTGAAATAGGATTCAATTTTCTGAATATGAATTTTCAGGTACTGTAAATATGCTTTGTCATTTATTAGCTTAGTTATTAAAGTACGTGCTTTTTTAAAAGAATGACTATTTGTAACTAGTAATTTATTACAAAAGAAAAAGACAATGTAGGTTAAAATAACACGCCAAATAATGATTATTGGAGAAGTAAGTCAAACGACAAGAATCGGCGTAATATTTATAAATTTTGCAGGGTTAGTTTCGATGGTTTAACTACAGAACCACCTTTCTCAGCTGTTTAAGAGCAAATTCTTGTTGTTTAACATACTTCTCCAATAAAAAGAAAATATGCTTAAGCATAACGTCTTGTCTTATAAGGTTTATGAATGAAAAAATAATGAAATTCAGATTTCGGAAGCATATCGATTAATTTAATGCCTGCCATAGAAACCTATGCACTGAGAAATGATATTTATTTATTTATGTTAAATTAATTGTTTTACTTATTTATGTATTGTATGCCAATTAAATCAACAGATAAAAATATTATACTTAATTCATATTTGAAAAAAATTACATGAATGTAAAACTAAGCTACATAGAATTTGCTCATAAACTGCTTATCAAAATAAAATTTTACTTGTGGGCTGACAAATATTTAGTAAAAACATAAATTTTACATTTTAATAATTAAGTAACTGTTAGCCTAATTATAAAACAGACTCAATACACGACAAATTAAGAGGACTTCGCAGTTTTCAAGTTGCTCTGTATTTTAAAAGGCATTTAGGGTTAAAAAATATCGTCTTACATTCCGATTAATATCGCACTTTTTTCCCTCAAAGAAATAAGGTATTTCCGTTTCGTATGCTAGGCAATAAATCTACATTTTTTTCAGCATACTCAAAAGCCTGAAATTTTCGTACCTGTTATGAAAATTGTCTGCAGCATCGTCACTCTCTATACCACTTAGAGTGAAATGCAGCTCATCCGATGCTTCCAGCTTACTACACTCCTCCTCACCACCTTCCGGTCCAAAATCCATGCACGTCTCTAAAACTGCTTCTAGATAATCAGATTCGTCTTCCAGGCCATACAGTTCTTCTTCACCCAAACCCACACACTCTTCACTAGGATCAGCGAACTGATGCATGGAAAGTGATGTGTCTACAGTGTCTCCAACAGCTAAATCCGTAGTCCCGAATCCAGAATCGTTGAAAGATGTACCCGCAGAGGAAGAACCCAGAGATGAACCCAGATTTTCTAGTTTTCCACAGTTTGAATTTTCTAGCTCCTCCTTCAGACTGCTAAAAGACTTTGATGGAGTCTTATTGGTGTTGTAGTTGTAGACGCGTATGTTGAAATAACGGTCTCCTCCAACACCCACACCATCGTCACCAGATAGATGAGTCGAGCTCTCACTCGAATAGCCGATGTCCTGTATGATCTCGAAGTTCGTGAAATCGTCACCATATTTTGCCTGAAATACAATACAATATAATCGTACATACTTATGTTGCAATATATCAGGTAGGTGATTTAAAGAAAAATATAGAAATACCATTCCTTTCCGGTCTGTTTGTAGTGTCAAGTCTTAGGGATTCATTTGTGATATTTTATGCTATATACTTTCTAAATGAGATAAGGTAAACGAAAATAACTTTATTATTGCTTATGTACATTTAGATTATGACAATGCTGATAAAGTTGGACAAAACGAAATCGTAGATTTCTTAAAAATAAAATAACACTTCCTGCGGTTGCTTATTTACTGTAGTTATGAAAACAGTTTTTGCATGAAATACCATAATAATCATAGCTATAATTTCTTGAGAAGTTAATTCTTTTGAGCTTTCTTAATGTTAAATAACAGCAGTTATCAAAATCTGATAATAAATTATGAGCAAATTGTGTACGATGAAAATAGAAAGAAAAATAAATTTTTTCCATAAATTAAATAGCATGAAGTTAAGAATAGTAAACTGAAAATTCACTTACATTCGTTAATCCTTCGTTATTCAACCGAAAATAATATAAACAGGTTAAATTTTATTGAAAACACGACTGTTGTCGCCATTATGATTCCTTTATTTCAACAATATTAGCGATTTAAATAACTACGTTTCATAGAGAATACCTAACCGAATATTTGATATCGATCTCGAATTGAATTACCACGTACAGATCCTCAAATTTATAATGCGTGACATATAAAAAACATTGAACAATATATTACAAAACATTAATATTTCCATGCAATATAATAAAGCAAATAAAATTAAATACAGAACTATCATTTAAAAATAATATGGATCTACAAAAATATTTCGCATAATAACGCTTTGACATTTAAAAGCTTTCTTTCATAACACATATAGTTAGTTATGTGTATAATGTATTGAATTAATTTCATTTTTAAAGGAGTTATAAAGACATCAAAGTAATTACCTTCAAAGCAGCGATTCCAGTCGTCCCAACCATGACACACTTGTCATTCACAGGTACCAAATCGCTGCATAATATTCCAACATCTCTTGTTAATAAATTACTTTTCAATCCGTCTCTGGATCGCAAAGCTTCACCTTCACGACGAATCCTGTCCATATTTACTACCGAAGATACTGCAGTCCAGTGGTTCCAATTGAGTCGTCGATGCTTCCTTAATGGTCCCTCATCGGTTTCGAAATCTGAACCCTCCTTTAAGTTTTGTGCCTGTAAATACAACGGACAGAAATTAAAAGTGGATACTTCCAATGCAAGAAACTCTTTCATCAAGGATAATTCACTTAGTATACATTAGTGTAAAGAATAAGCTGTAGATAATTTGATAAAAATTTGTTAATGATCGTTGTTAGAAAATAGTTTTCTGTGGACATTTTAACAATAAGTTACACCTTGTGCGGTTCGTTTCTTCTTCAATATGAAAGAAATTATTTTTGAAGAAACCGTCTGCTGAATATCGAGATAATGAGTGCTTCCTTATCTTCCTCTTGGATAATAGTTAAAACGCCATAAGCTTTTACTACCCAATATAGCCCTAAAATTTTTATTATCAGTCACATATCTGAATTTCGCTTTTGCAAATTTCGCAATGGTTTATTATAAAAATTGATCCCTTTAGTAAGCATATTATACACTTCAGCGCTTACAGTTTTATCCTGGTACTACGCATGTGGTAGATTCGCAGAATCGAATGTGGGTTTTCATCATATATAAAACAAGAATAAGTTTAAATTCCACGAAGTCTACTTCTTCCCTAGGTAAAGAATACCCCGTGTTTTTACTTTGGCGTTTGTAAGTTTATTCCCGACTTAAATTAATTAATTAAATTAATAGAACTTAATGGATGAACTAACCAGGAGTTACAGTACTGAAGCAAAGAACGTAGAAAATTCTTATACAAAATCTCATAGGAATGTTTATGATATGCACAGAAGGCTTCTCATTAATTTTACGTGTCACATCTATTTCTAAGCTGATTTTTATGACTAGATAAATTGGTTGTGAAATGACAGAACTAATAAGCAGAACCGTCATGACTAATTTCACTAAGTACAAAGTTATCATTGTTTCATATTACTTATAACATTAAGATAAGTCATAAGAAAGAACATAATGTAAATGGGAAATGAAAACTACGTATTTGCAACGTCGATTACATTGTATAATGCACATTTATTTCACAAATAATTTTTGCTCGTTTTCCTCCAGTGTACGGCTTAAATCAAAGTCTTAAAAGAGGAGAATTACATGGAACTTAAGCCATGAATCTAAATTTTAAATAAGTATATAAACGAATATAAAACATGAAGAATCAGATTAGAAAAACTGATATACAGACAAAGTTCTTGCAAGATTTAGGTATGCAAAACAAAACTTCAAATTCTTACTCATATATACTTCTCAGGATTTCGAAAACAACGATAAACACAATGGAAGGAAAAAACACACACTTTCAAAAACGTTAAAAACGTATCATAAAACTGAAACAACTGCTGGACGCTATGAAAGAAAACTGCAGAGCATACTAATCACGTGTACTAAGAATTTCTCGTCGGCATTTTGAAAAAATAATCTCGTGACTGGCCGGTTAGTCAACCGGTTTTCATCTTCTCCTCCCACAACTAATTGCTGTTTCTTCCACTTATCCTCTTTTCTGTTTCTTTTCGTATTCAAAGTCAGGCAGACGTAACAAAAGATGGGTATTAAAAGTTTCTTAACCCAAGGATATAAACTTATCAGTGCAATTATGGAACAACAACATGTAATTCGCAATTTCATTGCTTCTTTAAAGCATAAATATATATTGAGGTTAAAAAAAGGATAAATATTATATATTCCTTTTCGTCCTTACCCTACCAATCTGCTATATATAAACAGTTGCATAAAATGGCCAGTTCGTTTAACATTTTTGTGACAAAGTAGGTTTCCTTTGCGATTATGCACATTTGCAAGAATTTCATAGTTACACAATATCTTTTATGGGCAATATTGCTGCTATTTACATAGCATCGAAACAAAAAGCCATTTTAATGCATTGACGAACCCGCTTGTAATCTTTCCACTTCATTTGTAGACAATATTTGTTAAAACATTTGTGGATAAGCGATATAACAAAAATCACAACTACGTTTTGGATGATTCATTAAGTCTCTCTTTATCAATTAAGTTTAAAAATCTCCGAAAGGCGCTGATTTCTGATGGTAGACCATACCAGTTTTTCTTCTCTATTTGCTTGGATTGCTAATTTGATAACTTCGATTTTAATGTAAGTACCTTGATTTCTGGAGATTAGTTCTCAAAACAGATAGGCCTACCTTAACTATTTATCTTAAACCAACATCCTACATTTTTAACCTTGAAGATTTATTATAAAGCAAAGAAGGGTATAAAAGACACCATTTTATTTATTTATTTTGTTTCCATTACGTACATTTCATCAAATCTACGTAATTTATAAGCTTTTTTTATGAGCTAAACTGCTATTTATTTCTTCCCAGTTTTTCAGGTGTCGCAAAGCATGTAAAGGTCTGTCGCATAAATAAAATATATGCTTTGAGAAGGATTCTTTAAGGCAGTTTTCTCAAACTTTTGATACCTCTGATACCTTTTGATGTGACTGCTATTCAACGCAATCCGCATGCAAATACTCGCAATTTATACCAACCAACTTCAACAGAAAGAAAAAAAAGGAAGATATGAGATTCCAAGAACAAAATAATATATTAATGAAGTCATAAATAAACATGTGTAAGTATTAACCATAAGCTGATAAATATAAATAAATTCGTAACTACATGTTCATATATATATATAGTACCTGTTAGAGTTTTTCGTTAAGCATGTTGCTACGCGCTTTGCTGTGTAAATAAAGTATATTTTTGTAGAAAGGATGTTCTTTACTCTCTAATGCGAAGCACTAGGTTAGTGCACGATTCTCAACTGATTCAAAATCCATTTTTAAAATGGGGATCACCACACTAACAGAAATCAACTCGCATTTTCATTACACGCGAAACCTATGAGAACGCCCGCAGCGAAAATACTGAAGTCCAAGCAAGAATACTACAAAATTGTTACTTGCAATAAATTTTAACAATGAAAATAATACTATGTGTGGAATCAATGAAATGTTACAAATAGCACAATTATAAATCATATTTTGCGATAAAAATATTTAAAAAATGCTATTTGCAATAAAAAAATTCCAAATAGCTCAATTAAACATAAAAGCAAATGCAGAAATATTATTGAAGAATTTCACAATCGGCAAACTATAGTATGTATCATTATGATGTTAATTTCTAATAATAAAATACCTGCTAAAACTAGAAACAAATTATTCATAAAAATGTTTTTACCAAATTATTGTTTTTAAAAAGTATATATATTAAGAATATAACCATCATAGATTAACACAATCTAATTCATAAAATATAGGTAATTTGCTAAAAAATAAGTTAACTCCAGACTTAGCAATATAATTTCGAAAAATTATGTATATATTATATTATATTATTTATTGATTTTTGAAACGTCTTACCTTGGAGCGGCAGCTCTTGTTAACTTTAGGCGAGCTTTCTACAATTTTATTTTTACTTATTTGCAGCATATTGCGCAAGATGTTTTCTTGACCAAATGTTTTAACTGCTTGCTTGATAAAATATGTTTATATAGATATATATAATATACAATATATAATATACATATTACCACACACTAATATTCTCACTGCGATTAATAATAAAAAATTGAAATAAGAACGGGCGGTTATTAAAAGAGATTTTAATTAATTAAACAAATTTAGTTATTTTGCTAGAGTTAAATCATAAGCTACGAACCAAACTCAATAGCAAAATAACTTATTTGATCCTTACTCTCTTGGAAAAAAGACGAAATGCTCTCACTTTATTTGGTTATTGTTAATTGATAGTGGATTTGATTTGTTCCCCTTGACAAGTCAATTAATCTACAGTCAACAATGGCTACCTTTTTATTACTTTAAATTTTACTATTTAGAATTTTTCTGGTTCAAGGACAACCATCTGCGAAAAACCAGGGCAACATTTTAACCTAATTGCATATAAAAATCGAGATATAGTAAAAAACCGTATTCTTAAATGAGCTTAAGACTTATAAATCATAAACGACACTTATATAACCCTTTAAACACCAGTTAAAGATGTTGCTAAATTTACAGCTCATATAAAGAGGTAGCTTACCTATTGTATTATTTTAATAGTTCGATGCTATATACTAAATTACTGACGCGGAAAAAAGAACACATTTACATTAGCATGTTTGCCTGCAGGCCAATATAATTTTTTTTTTTTTGAAAATATTTCGTTTTCCTTAGCTACATAAAACAGCACTTTGTATGTATTGGAGATTCACAGCATAATTTCAATATTTTTTTGTGTTGAAATATAAATATAATGAATTTATCTAATTGCTTTTTCACAATTATCTACATCGAGGTTGTTCCTTACGCATAAATATTTATGTACAGTGAGAAAATGTAATTGCGCTGTGATACAAAAGGTTCCAACTAATAAGATGATAGATATTAAAATGTTCTTATGAAAGTTTGTGATTATCGAAGTTCATCGATTAGGAATTTTCTTTGATCCGCGTACTTGCAGTCTCAATTAATAGGCGCAGAATCTTTTATTTTGTAACATGTTTCATTTTCAAGCAAATGATGACTGCAGGCATTTTTTTTCTTAAATATTTATCTTAAATTTCATATTTTCTTTATTACTGATCTTATGTACGTACTTACAATAACAAAGTATCTCAGAATAAAGAACATAGTTTACAAAATGTTATGAACATTTGTTCAACACTGCGAAAGCGCTTTGTCAATTCAAAATGCAGTTTTTTTTTTGATTCCCGTAGATTAAGAAATTTAATAAGTACTATGTTTATTATGCTTTACTAAATTAAATATGGAACTTTATATGCAAAATCTGCAAAGATACTTTCAATGCTAAGTAGTTTCGAATAGATTTTCATCAGATTTGGCTTGACAGTACAAAATAAATGTTACTCATTCCGGCTAATAATGATTCCATTTTGGGCAAAGAGCATTATTTATTATTAATTTTGTATCTCGTCTTATCAAACGACTATTCAACTGTATTAACAATTTTAAAAAAAATCTGAAAGCTTTCAGATTTTATTTTACGTCCATAGGGCGTTTTCCAGTAAAC